AAAAAAAAAACAATTTTTTAAGTCTTTTCAAGAAACCTATTAAAATAAGCATAGAAGGTGAAATTTCTTAGATATCTTTTATCTTGTGGAACACTATCTACCTGTTTCATTTAAGCCTACTGTGAACTAAAAACAGGCTAAGGAACTAATTGTCCACTAGGGACTTCATGAAATCTACACAGAAAAGCACACAGAAAGAATTTAAAAGCAGAGTATGTCCCTGCTTAAATACTAGGGAATATTAGGGAGACAACTTTCCCTTGGGTGAATGTCACAGAAAGAAATACCTAACGGAAAATACTGAGAACTTTTCTTACACCATAGCCCCTAGGCTGCTTAAGAGTATACTAAGGTTGGCAGCAGAGGCACCAGTAACTAACCATTCAAAATATCCCAAGGTTCATTCCAAAGAGACCATGGAGTAATAACAGTAATAGCTAACATTTATATCTAGTGCTTACCACATGCCAGGAATAGACAAGTACTTTGTACTTATTATTCCATTTCATTTTCACAACAATGCTATTACATAGTTATTATTTCTATTCTACATTAAGGGTACATATCCAGGATTATAGCATTTAAATAGCAGGATCAGGATGCAAACATAGGCTCCAGAGTCTGCTCTTAAACACCATACTATCTTTACCTTCTGTGCTATAAAAAGTTCTCCCCAGTACTTTAACATGATTAAGAGGGGTCTTTAAAGACATGAAACTCAGGGAATCACAAGGGAACCATAAGAAACACATAAAAGGAGGGAACTATGATCCTTGGCATTTGTGCAACCACCAAAGTAAGTTAGTCCAATTACTTCAAGGAGCCAAGAAGAACTGAAGACCCCTAAAATGAATCGTGGAAATAGTAATAGCCAAAGATGGGAAAGAGGGTAGGAAAAGGAAATGGAGAAAAGGATATGGAAGAAAGTAAGTTTGGCTTTAGAAATGCTCAATTTAAGATGCCAACAAGACATTCATGTGGAAATGTCTACGCAGGAAGTTGGAAAGGTGGGTCTGGCTCTCAAGTCAGAGAAAAATCACAAAAATTTAAAACTCAGCAATATGGTATTACGGATGATGTTTAGATTTTTATTATTTTCTTTATACTTTTCTATGCTTT